ACATTATATATATATATTTATAATATTAATCATTTTATTGTCTTAAACTATTTAGCTTTTTCATATATATGATTTTGATCTGCAGGTTCTATATGTTCTTTGGTTAGTGGTACTATTTTCTTACAAACGTATTTTATTTCAGGAAATGTTATAATAATGTTGATTATGTCAATTAATTAAATAAGTAAATCATTATTTAATTAATTATTAATTATTGTTGAATTAATGAATAAATTATTGAATTAATTAATTAATTAATTGGGTGAAATTCTTATTTAGCATTACTTTTAAATTACCGGGTGCAACTCATAAGAAAGGTACTTATATAAAAATGAAATCTAGACTAATGAAAAAGTGAAAAATTACACCATACTATAAAATAAACGAGTGAAAGTACAATTTTATAGGAATATACGAAATATATAAAAATAAAAGTTGTATGGGTCGTTTTTTTAATCTAGCAAATCAACTTTTATTTTTTCTTTTGCGCTTAAGAAGGTACGTTTATTTCCAATTATTTTATTGGTCTTTACCAGCACCTTTTCCGCGACCCCGAATAATCTATTTTGTCTAGGGTTGTTCATATCTAACTGCAATTGATGCGTTTTGTGAATTCTTTTTCGTACGTCTACTACAATCTCGCTTGGTGTTGAGTGTATTACTTCAACAGGCATGCTACCTACCGCCTAATCGTGCGAACATTTGTACTCCATTGTGGCCTGTAGAATGATCTCGACAGTGTCTTTGATCCTTCTTTGTATTGACACCTGCCCATGTCACCTAAAGTTCTGTGCAGGCGCTACGCTTGTTGATTTGACGTGTTATGAAGACGTGGAGCGTTTTCTATTTCGAGACCTTAGAAATTTTTTTACATAGGTTTTTTAGCATACATTTATTGTTTCGGTACTAAAAGCAGCTTCGTTGTCGCAATAAATTGTTTAGGTTTATGAAAGGCGATAGTTAAATGTAAAAGTATCTCTTTTATGTCTAAGATAGAACGTGATGCTATGGGTTGTACCATTGCAAATTTTGAAAATTTATCAAGAGCAGTGAGTAAGTACTTCCCGGCAGTCGAGTAAATAATTTGAGCAGCATATGACGGGATTGGGGTAGCGCCGAGATCTAGTCTTTTGGGATGTCTGTCAAATTTGGCATTTGCACGAGTTTTGCTGTTTGTTACGATTCCTGAGACCAGCCTGTGAATTTCCGGAAAGTAACAGTCGCAAAGTATCCGCGTTGTATCAAGTATTAACGCTGTCTTCAGAAAGGTGGTAACAGAAACTATTGACGGCCAATATTATTGCTATCAACTCCCTTTTGTAAGTTGCATAGTGCATTTCAGTGTCTTTCAGGGCTCTAGAAATCATTGTGATCGATTTAATACCTTGGGACAATACCGCTCCTATACTAAAAGACGCCATGTCTGTTCTTAAATCAAACGATTATTAAAGTTCCGACTCATTCTTGGAGAGAATGATGACATCAAATACCGTCTTTTCACTTGTGGTACTGAATCCGTTCGAGCCTACCAGTGAAATATATTTCCCTGCTTTTTAAGTCGATAGTCGCACCTACCTCCGTTAAAAGGTCAACTCCAATTATACCATCGAAAGTAGAGAGTAGTAAAAAGAAAAGACTCATAACACCAAAAATTGTAAGCATACACTTACGAGAGATATTGTCGAGGCCGTGGATTGATTTCATATCGAATGAATTTTCAACGTGGATTATGTTTTTAAATTCCGAAATGGGTTAGATATAGGTCTTTGTCACTTAGTCACTATATGTGGCAGCTGAATGCTGTGTGGTGATAATCACAATTTTCCTGACCTGCAACCTCCTAAGCTATATGATTAATTCTTTCACGTTGATCAGTTTGCCAATTCGAACTGTTTGACCTTTTAAATTACCCGGCTGATACTGCCTAACTGTAACCCTACTGACCTTGTTGCCGGTAAAAGTCTGTGCACGAAATTTAGAAGATGTTGAATCTACATCCATTTTTTTTATCGGGTCGGTAGAATCCTCGGAAGCTACAATTGGCGCCAGGGTAATTCTTAAAGTCTGTACTTTTTCCTTGCTCTTTGTTAACCCTTTTCTTATCTCTCGCCTCCAAAATCTTCGAAAAGTTTGAGGAAATTGTGTTCCTAACATGAATAGGCTCGATTTCTTGTGCCATTGCCAAGGTAGACGGCAAGTCTTTTTTTCCTGACCTGAGCACAGTATTTCGGTAAGGGCCCTTCTAAGTCTAGATATGAATTATTTTTATTATATTTTCATGACTTACTGAGAACAAAATAAACATCAGTGGTACTGCTCTATCAGCTCTATCATACAAAGAATATGGCTCTCTAAAACTCCTACTCTCTGAGCAAGTGAGCAAGTTATGGACCGGATAAAACCGAAGTCGTGTGGAACCAGCTGTCCCATCTATATGTTGTATGGTTAGTGATAAAAATAAATCAGATTTTCAGCTATACATGATAGAGCATTTGAATAAATGTGATCGTTCGACTCTCGAGCCTTCGGCTGACACCATCAAATTAATTTTTAATGATCTTAAAAAAAATAATTTTAGACGTGTTACACCCTTTTAGCAGAATGCAAGCTTCCTCGGTGGAAAGGGCGACTAAAAAATTGTTGTGCAAAGTTTTATTTATTATCTGCTTTGCTTCAAGCTATGAAAATTGTATTCAATACTTTCGGTAATTGGCAGAAAACGGATGCATAAAAGTTTTTGTTGACCATCCGATCGGCTTCAAAGTCATTTTCAGAGATTTTTGTTAGAATCGAGGTACTTCAGACTTTTCGGATCAGACTTCTTGGATTATAAATGCGGGTGTAGGGTTTAATGTCAAAGTTTTCGGCGTAGGCTCATTCGCAAAGATCCATAAGAAATTTCAAACTTTTCGCAAAATCCCTCCCGTTCGGATGATAATTGCGGGTAAAAGTTTTAAGAGCGAAGTCTTACGTTTCGTCCCCTGACCTCAAAAATATTCAATGCAATGCACTTCATAAAAAAAAATTAATACGTACTACAACGATTTAAAAAATTCCACACGCAACTGTAAAACGGAAAACTGTTACTTATATTAAAAGCCCTACATAAGAATTTAATCAAAACGTGCGTCAGCGATTTTGGAAATTCAATCCGAAACTTTAGTAAATTAGCGGAGAGCTATTGCTTTAACATCATTTTCAAATATTAAAATGAAAATAAATTTAGACGTGTTTCACAAATTTCGCAAAATGTCCCCTCTCCATATGCAGGTGAAAGATTATAAGATCAAAGTTTCGAACTAAGTGTGTACGTGTTTCGGCGATATTGGAAATTCCTCCAGCAACTTTGGAAATTTGGCGGAATCTCCGAAACTTTTTTGTTTACCTGATCAGCTTAAAAACTCACTTTCAGAGATTTTTTGAAAATTGTTTTGAATTGTTTTTCGGGAACTGAACTTTAAACATATTTTTAAATAGACGACAGATTGAATTTTTCACTGGCGGGAACTTGGTAAAAAGTTGTATCTAAGATATATCTGTAAATAATAACTTGGCACGGACAAGACCCAGCACGAGCCGTAGAAGCTAGAAAATTGCGATATCGTCTGCAAAGCTTACGATGCTGTAACCAAGTGGTAGGGCAACTCGAAGCACTCCGCCGTACCATGTGTTCTATACTAAGGGTCCAAGCACCGATCCTTGCACAACCCCCTCAGTAATGGCGTACTTGCGTCGTCCTGACATGAGTACCCTGGCCATATAGCTGCCATAGGAAGTATCGGTCAAAAATGAGGTTTTTGTATGAAACACTTTTTGGTTTTCAAAATAGCTTAATCATATTCGACGCTAAATAAAAAAGGTACGGTCTGCAAGGGTTTTAAATCTTCGGCGTGCCGAAGATAGCCTTTATTTCTCGTTTTTATGGAATTGTTTTCAATGATTGAAAAGGTTCTTATTTTTAAGCGCATTGCGTTATTTTAATAGCTTTGTTATGATTGGAAAAAAGTGGCATTAGTGTCAGTAATTTCACTGATATACATATATTTTTAGTTTTTGCCTGACCTTCAGCCTGATTCCACCTTATCCAACAATGTTTATATTTACATGATCAAATAAACAGCTCAGTTGTTTGCCTGACACAGGTCGAATAATACTGCCTTGTAGCAGGGGCCCTTTTTCATTATTACTTTTCAGAATTTTCAGATCTTTACACGTTAAAAACTGAGAGATGATTTCAATTTCTTATTATTAAATGTTAAAATTACCGCAAACTCGGTTGCTTTACTAGTTATTTATGGTATTAATATATTCTTATTTTCAAGAATATTGATATGAAATTTGATAAATTATCGCAATTATGTTAGAATTGTAAATTGTCAGATATGTTCGTGGGATTCTTAATACTGATTTAGTTTTAATAGTTTTATTTTTTCGCAATCAAAATAATTTGAAATGCATAAAACATACATACATCTTTGACATAAATGAAACGAAATCCATGAAATCCCAACAGAATGTAAGCAAATAACAAGAGTGGACGTGTAATTTTCTTTGAAGAGATCACGCAAGCTTCATAGCAGATTTCGTTAAATCTTTTGCTGTGACCCTAATTTTTAATTGCACACTGCACGAGCACATGGAGCAGCTATGCACATCTTAATTCTAAATCAAATTTAACCCAGTTTCAGGAATCTCACTGTTTTTTCTTATGGGAGGCGTACAGGCAATAAAATCACATTTTTTAATATTTGCAAGTAATGTAAGAAATGTTGATAGTGGAATTAGGCTATTATAATATCATACAGATATTAAATAGATATCTTTGGAGCATTTAGAGGAACGTAAAGTTGTTAATTGAGTACATTTTGCTCGGGGAAAAAATACGTAATTATACATATTTTTAAACTAAGAAATTTATTAAATATTTAAGTTTTACGATACCGACCAAATATAAATTTGACTGAAAAGGTGCTAACAAATTAATGTACATTTATAATTACCTGCTTAACTCCCGCTGCACTCTGCCGTTTGCAGTAAACACGAGGAATAATATTCCAATTAAGTATAATGTCATTTTAACTCTCACATACATAGTATCAAGATCACATACATAAATCTAAAAAAATTTAAGTTTGTTTTCATATTATGTATAAAATCGACTTTAGTGATCATATTTTTAAATAGATTATTAAATAAAAATCCAATACGAATCATCATTATTTATTGGATCTTAGATTTGAAACAATAAAAAACCAAATTTATATACATTTCTGATATATCATTATTATTGAGTAGAGTGTTGTGCACAGCGACCTGAACCTGACAGTACGTATAAAATAAATAAATAAATCCATTAAAATAGTATGAAATTTGTACAATATTTTATTTTAGGTATATTTACATACACATACATATTTCAGCACCGCAGAAAAGACAATTTACAAATAAACGTTTGAAATTCGTACATTTATCACATACTACATTATTTTGTACTAAATAATTTCGATAGAAGAAAAAAAGAAAAAACGAATGCATATAGTATTTATGTATGTGTGCTCTTTTATTGTGTGTACATTCGAGTACTAACGTTCACTGTTTAAATAAACACTTTATTGATTCATTTGCATTCTATACACGAATTAAATGTACTCATAACTGAAGCGGGTACGTATTAATGTACAGTTGAACGTATATAAGCACGTACAAATTACTATATATCTACCATATACTCGTATATGAATTTAAGCCAACAAATTTACCCATGCCCATATACTTTGAGAACTATTTCATAATAGCATTTTTTAGTAAAATGAACAGCATTCGCCACAAAGTATATCATTTTAGTATATGCATACCGCGTACAGAGGCCCTAGTATGTTTAAGTTAATTACTTGCTTCCTACTTAGTTATTACTGCGAAGCGTTTATAAATTTCAACGAGCTGAGATCTAAAGCCACATTTAACGCATTCGTGGGAGCGGTTGAAACGAAACTACTGCCGAGAGAAAAAATAGAGACAGAGCCTCGCCCAATTATTTATTGGAATCAGCCTTGATCTTGCGGAGCTTTTGACTCGTGCTTTGTTGAGTAAAGCTTGTCTATTAATTTTTATATGTAAGGTTATAGATATTGCAAAGAAGTTTGCATACCCTGTAATACGAAAATGGGCAACATTAAGTGGTACAAATGCATGCTTGTCCCAGAAAGCTGCACAATAATACAATTTCATAATAAGTATAAGTAATGAGAATTGGGATTAACACGCCAAGCAAGGATATGCTACCTTAACCGAAGTTCATATTACCGAGCACTATATAAAACAACTAAGAGGTTCTAGTCGGGAGCTCCCGACTAGGGGATACCCTGAACCCTCTTATTCCAACACCAAATGCAGCTCGCGCTACGCAATCGTTTGCTTAAGTAGTAATAAGGATAAATTAAAAATAAAAAGTTAGTTCGAACGAATTTAACGAATTTAAATAGTAGCACAGAAAACAATACAATCGCAATTGCAATGCTGTTGATAGAATTCAAAGCAGACGCGCATGAATATGTGTGTGTACATGTATACAGAAATTCTTGGAATTTGCGCTAGCTGCTGCTAGAACGTGCGCACATAACTTTTGTGTTTCTTAACCGATCTTAATGCTATTTTCGACGGAACATCTTATTGTAGAATAGAATATAGAATATTTGTGTATTCTCAAAAAGTCAATTGCATATAAGTTGTGGCTTAAATTGATGGGCAATACATGTTGGATAATTAACTTGACTTAAAGCTTTATGGAGGTAGCGGGGAGGTGGCGATAGGCATAAAATGAAAGATACCTGATATATGTATATACTATTCTGGAAGCTACGTGTCAAGTTTGGTGACTCTAGGTCATATTATTTACAAACATTTCCCAAAAAACTGGATTTCGATATCGATTACGCGGGCACTAGGAGGTTACAAATTCAATTACAGTTAAAATTTCAAGTCGCTAGCTCTCATAGGTTCTGAGATCCTTGCGTTCGACTCGGCTGTTGATGCTGATCAAGAATATATGTATATACTTTATGGGGTCGGATATGCTTCCTTCTGTCTGTTACATACATTTTCACAAATACATTATACCCTTTTTAACCCATTTTTAATGGGTGCGCAAATAGCGCAGCGGCAAAGCTATTTTTCCGCCTGCGCTACATCATTTGAAAGTCTATGTTGAATATATTCTGTTTTTCCGAATTTTATAAAATTTTAAGGGCATACCAAATAAATAAATAAAATGAGTTTTTCAATATTTCTAATATTTTTACTTTACGAAACAAGTCTTAAAATCAATTTTATCGATATTGTGCAAATACGCGATGCGTATTAAATAGGAAAATATATATTTTTCAAATTTGAAGCTAAATCTACTCAACTCATAATCCTGCACAATATACATAGATTTCAAATTTGAAGTGTCAAGCTTTTGAAGTTTCCGACATAGCTAAATCGAATTTATAGGGCTGGACATGCCTTCTATAGGGTATAAATATGCGGAAACCCAACAAGCATACTAGATAATTAAAACGTTTATCACTTGTAAAGTTCAAAATTGCGTTCTTTTCCCTTCACTAATAGAACTAACCAAACAGCATATAGATGGGGCATAAGCAAAGTAGGCACAAAAAAATCGGTGTAAGGGTTTACCACGTCGATGCGAAATTCCTGCATTTTAGCTCGCTATTGTTGGCAAGGGTACCTAAACGTTGGCATGTGTGCATTTACAAGTTTTTGGACTTGGCATTCACGCATACTAGCATATTTTGTATATGAATAGAAGCATTTATGCGCTTGTGTGCCTGTTGGTGCCTGCCTGCCTGTCCGATGCAAATTTGACAATATATTGGGATTTCTGAGTTCTGAGCTCTATACACACACACATACACTAATGTGTGTGAATGGGCAGATCATATGCAGGTGCTTGCCAAAAGTTTACCTTTTCGGCCCAACGGGCTGCTGCAGTGTTTATATTGTCTTTGGTAAAACTAATAAATGCCGAGTTTGGTCAATATATCTTGAAAAACAGGAAACAACAAATTTTCCATAGAACAACTTAATTTTCGACCGATCGCTCCTATGGCAGCTATATGATATAGTGGTCCGATCCAGCTGGTTTTGACATATGTACAGCGTGCAACAAAAAGAGGGACTTCAGCAAAGTTTCATAAAGATAGCTTTAAACCTGAGACTAGTTCGCATAGAAACAGACAGACGGACATGGCTATATCGACTCGTCTGTTGATACTAACAAAATTATGATACCCTCCGGTATAAAGACTGACCATAGATTATATCTAGTAAACCTGCCAGCACATTTAAAATTGATACTACTCTAATGAGGGAGAAACACAATATACTACATAACAAGCCTTCTCTTTTTCCGATCTCGTGTTTTCTTATTTACTTGGTGGCGATTTAATAGTCGATTGCTCGATTCAAGTTCATACAGGCAGCCCTCTTGATGAGAATAACTTAAAACAATTTAACGAATTCATAGTGTTGTTTAGTTGGCGCCTTGTGAAATTGGATCAATCTTCACATCGGGAAACTTAAATTCGGGAAATTTAAGCATATCGGTCTTTCCATCGCTGCCGTACTGCTTGGCAACACGCTCTAGCTCGTTTTTCAATTCTCGCTCAATTTCAGGATTGGAGTCGACCATCTTGCCGCCCCTGAAAATAATAAATAACAATTAAAGATCGAATGACCGTGTCTCCATTAGCTACCTACGCGCTCTTTTGCTTATATTCGCGAACTTTGTCTAGGAATAGTTGCTGGATGGGATCGGATGCCTTGTTCAGAGCTGGTGCAACTATGGCAATGTTGCGACGTGCCTCAATGCGTAGAACGCGGACACCGGTTAAAATTGATTGCGACAGCATCTGAAATCGGATAAAATAGCGTTAATCTTCCTCTGCGGCAGCAATTCGGTAACCTTAAAAGGTTATGTAACACATTTTCCATTTGCAGAGCTTATAGTTGAAAATATGTAGTAACAAGTTTGCATTTGCCGAGGGGTTTCTTATTATTATTTATTTATTTACTTTCTTTTTTACTTTTCAATTCATTTTTATGATTTTTTTATTACCTTACTTCCTTTTCAAATGCCTCTGTACTGTATGGGTGGAAAATTGTCAACTGAATAACAGAGTGACAGCAAAATTTTAACTTAAAAACTCCAAAGTTCAAAATTGAAATACTAAAATACAGACTTTAACAAAACTAAAATACTTAAAAAAATACCAAAATACGTCTTGATTGGCGAGTGATTAATATTATAAGCAAGTTAACCGCATATGTTATTAAACATAACAAATACATACAATGCATACTTATTGAAGGTACATATATTAAATTAAGCCAGAAAAAAACTATTAACATAAGTAAATCCGTAAAATCTTTGTATTAGTCAGCCCACATAAGGAACGTCCAAATAAGTCGTGGGTGATGTCAATTTATCAAGATTCCATTTGCAGCGACCAAACTTATCTTTATTGTGTATTTTATTAAATATAAGCAATTACTTTTAATTACCGATAACGTGGCGACACGATTGCCCGATGTCGTGCAGCAACGATATTACTTCTCGATGAGTTCCTGATAGTTTTGAACGTGCGTAAAATTAACGGCGGTGACTTAGCGTCGATGTTTGGTAATTGGTATCGGTAAAGGAATCGGTCACTTTTAATTTTATTTACTTATGTTTTTTAATAAATTTAAATGCATAATTGCCAAAAATTAAATTATTTACTGTGTACATTCATTTGTTTCGGAATTTTAATTTATAATATGGGTATACCAAGGCGTTGAAAAATTAGGTTTCCATCATTCTCTATTAATCTTAATTCAGGGATAATGGCCTCGAAAACCGCATATACACGATTAAAGCCTATAGTTCCACCTAAACAACCTTAAAACAATTATAAAAATCGATTAGCACGTTTTTAAGATATTTGTACAACAGTGCAGCAACCTCGTTGCTAGCCCCATACAAAATGACCGTAATAAATAAGGCCCTCAATGCACGCTATACTAACTTGAAGATACATGTTTTAGGAAGCCTTACGCATTAATTCTAAACAAATCGATCAGCCAGTTTTTTAGAAAGCTAATAAAATATAAACACACCTCATGTTGTTCTTTCAAAATGCCTATCGAACTACTATCTCCAACGTGAACCGAACCACTGCTTAGAATCAGTGCTGAATAATGTTATACAGTATTGAGCGGGAACAAATTATTTCAAATTATTTGTATATGTGAAAGAAAAGAAGTAATACATGAAGTATTGGCATTTTACAATAAAACATTATCTTATGTATTTATACACAGTATAATAACAAAAAGGTAGCAATATTTCAACATATTTTTCATCCTAATTTTATTTATCTCTGACAATGGCCTTAAATGCACAGTAGTTTAACATATTCATCGCGAATTATCAAATATTTGGCTTTTTACTTCAAGAAAATCGTTCAGCCAGCTTTAAGAAATTCTCATTTTTCTATTTTTCTATTTATGCCCAATTGTTGCGAAACTGATTGTTTCTCGGAGGGCCGCGCCGGCTGGCTCATCGGTTCTCTAGGTGTAGTCCCATTCCTGGCCCGCAGTCCTCACAATCGATATCAACAAAACTACAACGTCTGTAGCAAAACATACATATACAACACTATTCAAAATGAACCACATAATCGATAACAACAAACAATTGAACAACACTAACAGCTGTAACAAAAAGTAAATGTAAACAACAAAGGTGAGACGCTCAATATAAATTAACAAAAGAAAACACTATATACCCACTTTACTCTTCCAGATCGGGCCCCGGTTCCGGACCCCGCGTACCCTGAGACGATCACCTGATCTCGTCTCCGTCATTTTGGCCACTACATGGCCTGCATCAGCTCGTGTCGGCTGTTATGCCCACTCTCCCTATCAATTGAGACTTAGCCGGACATTTCTCTCTTCAGTAGGTGCGTATAATTGGTTGCGTTTCTTATTATTATTAACAATTTTAACATCTCTTATCCCCTATTTTTACAGGGTATCCCCATTCTGCAATTTATTCTATGCAAGCTGACATTGGCTTCAATTCGTATTATTGCTTTGCTTTGCCTTATAATTATCACAATTGTGTATTAATTTCTAAAATTTCATTTATCTTACAGAATACATTTTATTTAATTTACTACATTAAATAGAAGAGGCGACGAAACACTGCAAAGTTATTGCCAGTCGCCACAAAAAAGAAAACAAGAAAGCAATTATGAGGTAATCGTTGCAGGTAGGTGATATATATATTCAATCGCTTAATTCTACCGTACCCAGCCTAAAGAGCTCTTTGGGGGTGGTAAGGGGCGATAGAAAGGGGTAATTCAAGTTAGGTATGTATGTGAGTATTGTTCGCGCAAGTACCAAATTTTCGCACTCTAATGTGGAGCTTGGCGTAAGTGCCTATGTATATATATAGAATTTACAAACAAAAAAAACTAAATTTAACAACTTCAAAAAATCTGCTCTCTTTCAGGGAGCACAATCAGGAGTCTACGTCTGACTCTGTTTATGACTCGAGCGAGGAGGGGCGAAATGGAACTGACTCATTCGGAGGATGTCGGCGTGGCTCGTCTCGCCGTCTTTATGGTTGCACCGATGCTTGGCTGACGTGCACCGCTGATATGGCTGACGTGCGCCGCTGAGCCAAATTCTGGCCTTTGGGGTGACTTCGTGGGCCGCTCTAGTCCGAGAGCTGGTCCCTTCGTTGCCGAGAGCCGTTTATTTAGTTAATAGCCTTATGATTTAATATGTTCGTCTCGTGTCGCACGTAAGTTTAAAGTTTTTTATAATTTTTTGTATATTTTGACACAATGTTTAAATTCGGATTTTATTATTAAACGGCAAAAAATGTTGTTTAATTTTAATTTGTGGAAAACTTCTATGCCAAGGGCATATCCAAGGGCAGGCGATCCGCTCTCCTTATAATCGCTTAAGAGCGGGCGGCCAATAGTAATCATCTCTTTTGGCGCCGTGGATCGATGCTGCCGATATAGTCAAATGCAACATCACCACGCAGGTTATTGTAAACGCGAATCCGACCGTTACAATAGAATCTGCGTGCGCATTTCCTTTACTGGTTCGCCCAGCCGGCACCACCCACTTCGTATGGAACACTCCCAGGGGTTCCCTTTCAAGTCTTCCAGCAGGTACGAGTTGTTGCCTGCTCGACGCATTACTCTGGCCTTAAGGAACTTCCTTGCAAATTTGGCGTTAAAAGCTTTCCCAAAATCGCTTAGCACAAAATTGCGTCAGTAGACTTCTTGGCCGGGTTCCGCCTGGAACACTCGGGCTCGAGCGTTGTACTACCGATGACTTCTTTCGTAAGTCTGGTGTAGTTGGCTTTGGACTCGCTGTCTAATCAGGTGTTTTTTGTCTGCTGGGTGCAAATGAGAAATCTCATGACCATCCAGAGACCCTAGCCTACGAGCCAATTTGTAGCATGCCCCGTTTAGGAACATATGATATCCGAAAACGGCAAAGAAAGGAGTCACCCCCGTCTCTGTGTGTATGGCATTGCGTATGGACACCTCTATTTCCGGAAGGTAGAGGTCCCACTCGCGGTGATCTTGCTCTATATACGCCCGGATCGCCGACAATACGGTACGATTAACTCGCTCAAAAAGTGAATTTTGAAAAATGGTCGACTACCATGAAGATCCAAGCGTACCCTTGCTTCGAACGTGAGTACTTTCCCCGGAAGTCAATATACAGTTTTTGGAATGGTCGCCCGGAATGGTCGCCCTAGACCCACTTGCATGCGGAAGTTTGGTACCTTGACTTCCTTGCATGTCACGCACTGTCTTACCCAATCCCTTACCTGACTAGCCATGCCGGGCCAGTAAAACTGCCGGCGTAAGATCTCGAGCGTTTTCACGACACTCCATGACCAGCCGTCTCATCGACATCAGCCTTCGCAATTAAGCCGGCTATCAACGAGCTTCCCCATGGTGCCTTCTAACTCGTCTTCCAAGTGGACGAACCCCATGCGCTTAAAAACCAAATCCCCCTCAACCTTCAGGTCTGGTAGATTGTCTTGATTCGCCCGTACTTGTTCGAGCAACGCCAGATATTCCGCGGATTCGATCTCGGTGGTCTCAAATTCGAGAAGACATTCTGAAAGCTTTCCCACTGCTTCGACACTGCGCGAGAGTGTCGGCTACCACGTTCTCACTGCCTTTACGGGGCTCGATGGTAAAGTCATAGCTTTGCAGCTGCAATGACCAACGAGCTAGTCTCCCGCTTAGGTTTTATGGACATCAGTCATTTTAAGCTGGCGTCAGTGATGCATGTGAAAGGCGTCCCTTCTATGTAGGGTCTGAACTTTTTTATGGCCAGTATCGACGCTAAACACTCCGTTCAGTAACGGAATAGTTTCGTTGGTGTTTGTTCAACTTGGCTGAAAAGAATGCTATGGGTCGTTCCTGATCGTCAGGGTCTTTTTGAAACAACACCGCTCCCACGCTGAACTAATACGCATCGCGCTGCACGAAGAAGAGCTTGGAAAAATCCGCGTGCACGAGCACTGGTGCCGTAGTCAGGGCGATCTTCAACTTTTCAAAGGCCTCGTCACTCAATACAAACTTTCTGCTATCTTTTTTTTAACATTTCGGTCAGTGGTGCGGCCATTGTCGCGAAATCTCGCATAAAGCGCCGGTACCAACCTGCTGTACCCGAAAATGAGTGAACTTCTTTGCGCGACCGAGGCACGGTGATTCGTTTAATAGCTATAGCCCGTTCGGGGTTCATGCGAAGCGTGCCGCCACCAATAATGAATCCTAGGTATTTTAATGCCTTGAAGCAAAATTTTGATTTGTGCAGTCCGGTTTAGAGGTTCGCTTCCCTTAAGCTTTTGCCCACTTGTCGCAGATATTTCAAGTGCGTTGAAAAATCTGGGGAAATAACTAATAAATCGTCCGAGTACACAAAGACGTTGGACCGTAGCTCGTTGGGAATCAGCTTGTCCATTAGACGAACCAGAAATTGGGCTGCATTGCATAAACCAAATGGTATAACGCGAAACTGGTATAGTGGCCTACCTGATACGGTAAATGCAGTATAGGGCTTGCTTTTGTCGTCTAGTTCGACCTGCCAATACGCGAACTTCAGATCGACACTGGAGATGTAGTGGGTCTGGTCTATTCTAGATAGGATGCCTTCTATACAGGGTAGTGGATACGCGTCTTTCACCGTCAAATTGTTGAGCTTGCGTGTATCGAGGCAAAAACGGTCCCCGGTCTTCGCACTACTGTTGTACGGTTACTCCATGGGTTGTTGCACTCTTCTATAACCCCTAAACTCAACATTTTGTCCACTTCTTCATCCACAACTTTCTGCATCGCTGGCGACAATGGAAAGGGTCTATCTTTGAACGGTTGGGCACCTTCCACTAAGTCGATAGTGTGCTTCTCTAAGTCCGTCGTCCCTAATCCGCTACGTTCAAAAGACAAAAACTCCTGCTTTACCGTCTCCAATTCTATCCTTTCTTCGCTAGACAACTCCCATGATGCCAGCTCACCTTCGAATTCGTCCTCTTCTTCCGTATAATGCGTCATCGACACGGCCAATAGCTTTTTCCCTTGGTGTTCCGTGGATATAAGCTTCTCGGGGCCCAAAATGTCAATGGTCAGGTGAAATGCTCGCCAGAAATCGATCCCAAAATAGCCTCGCTGCTTTAGGTACGGGCAGATAAAAAACGTTATTTTTTATGCTGCCCCCTATACGAGATGCCCCCTACCCTACCTATGATCGATTTATCCTCGCCTCCAGCGGTTGTGACTACCGAAACGTAAGGTTGCACCGTAACCCCTAATTCTTCTACTAATTCTCGACACCCTTTTCCCAGCAGACTGACCGAGGCTCCTGTGTCTAACAAACCTTTCATTTGGATTCCCGCGACCTCCACTTCGGCGAATACGCGTCGAGGTTATTCTCCCGTTTCACAGCTTCAATGACCTGGTGCCTCGTCATCCTGCGTCTGCGGAAGCGCGCTCTAGCCTTCACCAATCTTCGGGTGGCCAGCGTCATCTCCTCCAGCTGTCGCTCACCAAAAATTCTATATCGGGCCGACATGAATGCCCGAACACGTTCTTCATATGGTTAGCCTCTTAATGTTCTTCCTTTGTTCATTTCCTTACAAATATTCTTATCCTGGTCCTTATGGTCTATATCCGTTTCCTTTTCAATAATTATTGGCTTTGGTAGGTGCTCCTCAATTGTTTTTCCGCGGTCACCGCATCAAACACGTCTGTCCAGCCATCATCGGTCTCCCTCTGGGGTTTCCCGGACAATTCTCGCATTGTGAGCAGAATGTACCCGGCTTGCCGCACCTATAGCAAAACATCTTCGGCTCTTTGGACATGCAGTCTCTAAAGACATGGTCGAACTGCCTACAATTCCAGCACACTAGCCGGGAAGGTGTCCTACCTCACACGAAGGCCTCCTCCAGATCAATAGGCGGGGTTTCTGCACGATGTGGTGATACTTCAACCTCGTGAACTGCCAGCCTCGTTCCTTGCGAGTAACGCGAAGGCTGCTCATACCCAGTCCGGCTTTTGCGAGCAATATGCCTCACCACTTCTATGCATTCTTGGCGCAGTTCATCCACGGTGAGTATATCCATAGCATAGATGTATTTTGACAGACTCTCCTTCAGACCAAGCTTTATAATTTTCACCAGTTCGCGGTCTCTCAGCGGCTTCTGCAATCACGCGGCCAGTTGACGCATGTGGTGGATATAGTCGTCCACCCCATCCAGTTGTCGACTCTAGAATGCCGCACGTGCATCCAGTACCACTCGCGGGCACGTCCGTTCAGGAGCAGGCATTGATATTGCCTCTGCAGGTACTCCAGCCGGAACACGAAGTCCTCGACAGAATGCATAGCGTCCTCGCCATCGAACTTGATGTTCCACCGCTAGAGCTTCAAGTACGCTGTATCTCGTACGTTTGCATACGCTTCCTCCGGCTTAAAATCATCCGCTGTCCGGGCCTCTACTCGGAAATGGCGATTATTTGGATTACGCCAGTTCTTCGCCTGAGAATCTGCAACGTATACTGAGCTGCTGGAGGAGTACTCCATTCATCGCGCGTCTTGTCTGTGTGGCTTCGGTGGCACCGGCGGTGGGAATGCCTCGCGCTGGAGCACTTTTCGCTCTTTCGGGATGGCGCCTGTTCGCGGTCCCGGCACGACATGTCTCGGCGGCTTCGGCGCAGTGTAAGTCTCTCCGGCGTGGCTCCCTGGCGGCCTAAGCACATCAATGATACCCTTCATCATCTCCATGAAGCCTGTTCGCATCTCCCCGCGGATGGACTCGCTGATGCTAGATGGCAGAGCATACTGATACGTCAGGTGGGCCTGAGCTATCGTCACGTTCGCTGCCGATGTGAGCACGGAGTCCTTCGTCGGTTTTGGCAACTCCAGATTTTGTGGAGGTCGATCTTGTTGTGCCAATTCCTTCTCTAAGTCTACCAGATGACCCTCCGCCGTGATCTGTCTCTCATGAAATCCCCGGAAATTCATGGGCGTTCTCGCTAGACCTCCTGCCGAACGTGGCGGCGGCAGTGCCGCCGCTCCGTCAGCTTCGCAACCCCAATCAGACATCTGAAAACTGCCCCCATCTCTTCAATAAGGCTTACTACCTTAAAAAAAAAAAATCGCAAATAATCCCTATTAAATAAATAAATAAATAAATAAACACCCACTAAAAAATCTTGCTAGTAATGAATAATAAATAACAAAAAAAACCCATGAAAATAATTTTTATTTATGTTATTTTTTTCAATTTCATATACTTATGGGGAGGGAAAACAAATCCTTACACAGGCTAACTTCTCTACGCATAATTTGGACAGTGGACAACAATTGAGCAATCGTCAAATGCTCAGCTCGTCAGTTTGACTGACGAACGGCATTCAAGGAACGCTACCTTGGAGTCTATTTGGCTTTTGTCCCACTTCTGGGAACCTTTGGGACATGCTGTGTGACAGGTGCGGCGCAGGATCAAATCTATATCGTCCTGGGTCACCTGTCTCCGAAGCTCATTTAACTACGGCCAACACACACCAAACGTAAACACAGAGTGGGACAAAACAAATAGTAAACATTAAACAAACTCTAACAAGACCTACCCTGTCACATTTTATCACAGGATATTTTGTCATAGCGGCTACCACCAGGCTGCGATGAACGGTCGCGAACGTTCGCCAACATGCGAACGTGACTTACCGCTATCGCCACCGTGACACCATGGCAAGATCCGTCCCCGTCGCTCTTCTGGTCATTCTTGGGGTATGTTGTGTGATAGGTGCGGCGCAGGCTCGATTCTACATCGTCCTGGGTCACCTGTCTCCAAAGCTCATATAACTACGGTCAGCATACATCCATACATCCATCAACCACTACAAGAAAAACTTCTTATGCTCAGGGATATTCTAGTAATCTCTGCCTCCGTCGTGCTTCTCGGATTCCACTACACGCTGCGCGATTACGGGTCACCAACTCGTGCCACATAAGACTTCAGTGGTGTGGATCCTAAAGCCAAGGGAGACTCTTTCTGTACCTTCATTGATATTTTATTTATCTTTTTTTTTTGGATTTCCACACCGAATTCTAAGAAGCCGAGTGCTTCTTCAATTGGGCGCCATATTGTTGCGGACTGCGGGCCAGGGATGGGACTACACCTAGAGAACCGATGAGCCAGCCGGCGCGGCCCAACGAGAAACAAGCAGTTCCGCAAAACTATGTTAATGCAAAAAAACTAGCTGGCAATATTTACTTAACATTTTTATTCATCAAAATGGCGGCAATATTTGATCAATATTTATATTTAATTCCTCCGATAATGACTTTAAATGCATATTAGTTTAACATATAGTTCGCGAATTATCAATCAGTTTGCTTTTTACTTCAAGAAAATCGTCCAGCCAGTTTTTTGAAAATTCTCATTTTTCTATTTATGCCCTATGTTAATGCAAAAAACCTAGCTGGCAATATTTACTTAACAATTTTGTTCATCAAAATGGCGGCAATATTTAAACATATTTCTACCAAATGGTGGCAATATTTTTTTTTTATAACGGTGCTTAACAAAAAACGGTGGCAATATTTGAAAATGGGTGTCCTCATTTAGAATTGAGAAATATTAAATATTTCACATATACAAATATTTTGAATTAATTTGTTCCCGCCCAATACTGTATAACATTATTCAGCACTGATTCTAAGCAGTGGTTCGGTTCACGTTGGAGATAGTAATTCGATAGGCATTTTGAAAGAACAACATGAGGTGTGTTTATATTTTATTAGCTTTCTAAAAAACTGGCTGATCGATTTGTTTAGAATTAATGCGTAAGGCTTCCTAAAACATGTATCTTCAAGTTAGTATAGCGTGCATTGAGGGCCTTATTTATTACGGTCATTTTGTATGGGGCTAGCAACGAGGTTGCTGCACTGTTGTACAAATATCTTAAAAACGTGCAAATCGATTTTTATAATTTTTTAAGGTTGTTTAGGTGAAACTATAGGCTTTAATCGTGTATATGCGGTTTTCGAGGCCATTATCCCTGAATTAAGATATATAGAGAATGATGGAAACCTAATTTTTCATTGCCTTGGTATACCCATATTTTAAATTAAAATTCCGAAACAAATGAATGTACACAGTAAATAATTTAATTTTTGGCAATTATGCATTTAAATTTATTAGGTTTTGTGCTTATAAACATAAATAAATAAAATTAAAAGTGACCGATTCCTTTACCGATACCAATTACCAAAAATCGACGCTAAGTCACCGCCGCTAATTTGACGCACATTGCATTCGCTCATCTCAAAGTGTTGACGATAGTTCAAAACTATCAGGAACTCATCGTGAAGTAATATCGTTGTTGCACGACATCGGGCAATCGTGTCGCCACGTTATCGGTAATTAAAAGTAATTGCTTATATTTAATAAAATACACAATAAAGATAAGTTTGGTCGCTGGAAATGTAATCTTGATAAATTGACATCACCCACGACTTATTTGGACGTTTCTAAAACGAAGAATAAACGTAAATCCATTTAATTAATATTGCAAGTAACAATCGATAGTCTAGCAACACCGATAGAACACGTTTCTGATATCGCATATCGTTTGAAGCTCAATTTCCACGTCAAACGATTGCGAGCCGAAGCGTATAAGAGCTATTTAATATTTGTTTGAATTAAGCTGAGTACAATCGTGATGGTGAGCTTGTTACAGGAAATTGACACAGAGCATGAGGACATGGTTCACCATGCTGCGCTGGATTTCTACGGGCTGCTGCTGGCCACCTGTTCGTCAGACGGCAGCGTCCGAATTTTTCACTCACGTAAAAACAATAAGGCGCTTGCTGAACTTAAAGGACACCAGGGCCCAGTATGGCAAGTAGCATGGGCGCATCCTAAGTTTGGCAACATATTAGCATCGTGCTCTTATGATCGCAAAGTAATTATATGGAAATCGACTACACCCAGAGATTGGATTAAGATGTGAGTGTTTCGTTTTTATGTATGTACTTATGCTGATGACGCTCTCGTTATCTATAAACGCCTTGTGTTTATATGTATGTTAATAATTTGACTTATATTTCCTTCTTGTCGCTTTTCAGATACGAATACAGCAATCACGATTCCTCGGTCAACTCTGTGGATTTTGCGCCGCCTGAATACGGTCTAATCCTAGCGTGTGCCAGCTCAGATGGTTCAATTTCTGTGTTAACATGCAACACGGAGTACGGTGTTTGGGATGCAAAGAAGATACCCAATGCACATACAATTGGAGTGAATGCTATTTCCTGGTGCCCGGCACAGGCACCGGATCCGGCTTTTGATCAGCGTGTCACTTCGCGCAACGCATCAATAAAACGTTTGGTTAGCGGTGGCTGCGATAATCTCGTCAAGGTTTGGCGTGATGATAATGATCGATGGATTGAAGAACACCGTCTCGAAGCACATTCAGATTGGGTTCGTGATGTGGCATGGGCACCATCAATTGGGCTGCCACGCTTCCAGATAGCATCGGCCTCTCAAGATCGCCATGTTATTATATGGAGCAGCAATGCTGATTTGTCACAGTGGACATCAAGTGTACTGCACACGTTCGATGATGCAGTATGGAGTATTTCCTGGTCCACCACGGGCAACGTTCTTGCTGTTACTGGTGGTGATAATAATGTTTCCTTGTGGAAAGAAAACAGTGAGGGTCAATGGATACGCATTAATTATGAATCAGGCATTGCCATTCAATCGAAACAGTCGCATAATTTACACAATCCCCAACAGCAGCCCCAACAGCCATCAAATATACCACTGTCGTCGGACTCTGAACATAGCTCGAACTTATCAAATTCGAACTTGTCAAACTCGCAGCTGTCAAACTAGAAATGTTAAATAGATCGTGTCTATGGCCGGTTTAATTTTAAAATTATGGTCAATATATCTTGAAAATGCGAAATATATTTTAAATAGAGGAAATACAGTTTTTCCAAATGGTGGTACGTTCCAAAAGAAATAAAATACTTTTTTTTAAACGGTTTATTAGGGGGACTTTATATTTCACAACTTGCGCAAAACTTGTAATATTATTAAAAATTTCATTTAATTTTGGAGGGCCCTGAATCTATAAAAAAATATCGGTTTCATTAATCAAACGCGGTAACAATAAATTGAATTCTGATGCATAGTGTGATTGCCGACCCAGGGAATTAACCTTAACATTGGTACTAAATATGTCAGTCAACTCTAGCAACCCCAAAGTTCTTGATACTTATGCCGGTGGAGGTAATTTCATTTTATTCATGAGGAAGGAACTTGCGCATTCGTATAAATTGGAAACTCGTGCCGCAATAAATGGAACCAAATGTAATTTGTATAATATATATATATTATAAAAAAATATATATATATGTCAATAAATATGCACTTTCTGAAGAAATAACTAATTAAATAGTCAATAATTATTTTGAGGAACAGCTTTTTAAAACATTGAATCCATGAAAATTGTAAAAGGGGGTTTTGCTAAAGTATATTTAACAGGCAGAAGGAGGCACCTCGAACCCGTAATGTAAATATATTCACATCAATAATCTAGTCATGCCTGTCTTTATAATCGCGTCTATTTTAAAAACTATAAGACCTAGAAATTTGTGCAAACAAATCATTTTTATACCCTTGCAGAGGGTATTATAATTTTGTCTCGAAATGCATAGAAGGAGACTTCTCCGACCCCATAAAGTATATATATTCTTCATCAGCAGCAACAGCCGATTCGATATAGCCGTGTCTGTCTGTTTCTATGCGAACTATTCTCAGTTTTAAAGCTATTGTCATGAAACTTTGCATATGGCCCTCTTTCTGTTGCACACAGTACATAGTATGTCTAAACCGTCTGGATCGATATTAACTACTCGGCATTAACTATTTTCGCGCAGTTCAGATGTAGTTTTATATTTGTGAAAAACTTCAAGCTATTGATAACTGGTTCACGTCAGTAAGCCTTCTGATTTCTTTGAAGGAAATTGACATATTTTCTACAAGTACAGTTCGTCAAAATCGAATAAGCAATTGCCAGTTAGCAAGGCAGAGGAGCTTTCGATTTGAAATGTTAAATTAATTTATGTTTGAAGTCGTTTGACAATAAGCCAGTTCAACTTATATCTTCATGTGTAGACCATAAACCTGTTGGAATGTGCAAGTGTTGTAGCCCAAAAGAAAAAGCTAACATTGATGTTGCAATGCGATGCAATGATTGCAATGATGTACAATAAAGGAATGGGAGGAGTGGATTTGGCAGATATACCCATGAAGCTCTAAAAGGCAAATCACCGCTCAAGGAAATGGTACATAAGAATCTTTTATAGGTGCTTAGGAACATCTATTACAAATGCGAATATCCGAAGCAGAAACATATTTCTCTACTGTATCTAATTGGGAGAGCCCAATATCTTCCAGTGGCTCCCCATCGAACATCGAACAGAATAGGTTCCAGCCAAATCCTCCAGACTCAAGGCGTTACGATAAAGTGTAACATTGGGTAGTATTTCGTGGAAAAGGGTGTTGCAGGTTGTGCAAGACAGGAACTCCAAATGCCCTAAGTGCATATTTTCTGTAGTAACAATAAAAACAGTCTTTTGTCCTATCATACTTAATTTCCTGAAATTTGCAAATAAAATTGTTTGCGGTTTTTATTGTAAATAAAATTTGTTTTATATACCACCATTGCCCAACGTTGCTCATAAGCAACTTCCGGTAGCGCCCAAACGGATAGGCTTGAAATTTTGGACAAATATTTCTTAAATAAATACGAATTGATTAAAATTAAATTAAATTAAATTAATTAAATGAAAAATTATATTATTTTATATAATTAAATAAATTGAGAACTGTGGTGGCTTTAAAAGTCTGCTAAGCGTTTTAGTGCGTATCGCTTTGATTTTATTCGACAACTGAAGATATATAGAGTTATGCTAAGGCGGCGAAGCGAGGCGAATTCGCTCCAAAGCGAGTGATAAAGCTTTATTGCGCTCTCGCTCCGCCCTAAATATAACTTACACTAGACTTCATGTTTTTCAAATTCATTTTTAAAATTAATGTGCGCATCTGCGCCAACACCGGCCACCATGAAGCGCTTGGGGGCTTCATTCCACCGGTAGCCGAGCCAACTTGTGGATCGGCCTTTTAAAATTTTCGCAACTAGCCGTCTTGTTCTAGCCACTTTAACAACGCCGTCCTCTCCTGCGTGCACTGCCGTCACTCTGCCGATCAGCCACTGCTGGGGCGGCAGATTGTCCTCGGCGACGACCACCAGCTCTCCCTCGACGACGTTTGGCAGGCGACGGCGCCACTTGCTCCGCACTTGGAGTCCGAGCACATACTCCTTTGACCATCGCCGCCAAAACTGTTGCTTGAGCAACGAGACAGCTCGCCATCGATTCAAGCAGGTGAGACCCTGCTGGTCCGGAGTCCCCTCTGCTGGCAGAGCCCTTAAGTGGCCTGGCGTTAGAGCCTCGCCATTGCTTGGGTCCTCGCTGATTGCTCCTAGGGGACACTGCGACAAGAGTCGTCTGCAGCTCCTCGGCCGTTAGCAGCAGGCTGCCTACCGTCCGTAGGAGTAGGGGATTTGCAGACTTCACACCTGCCTCCCACAGACCCCCGAAGTGAGTTCTTGGCGGTATGAACGCAAATTCGCATCCGCTTTTTGATGCGAATTCGCGAATTGGCGACTTGCTCCTACGAAGTATGTCGCGTTGTCGCAATGGACGGTCTGTGGGACTCCTCGACGGCCGACGGCCGAAAAGCCATTAAAAATGTATTAGTGGATATGTCAGATCCTAGTTCTAAGTGATCCGTTTTGGAGGCGAAGCAAACAAACAGTGCTATGTACGACTTATACGTAGGCTTTCTACGCATTCGAAAAGTCGTGCTAATTGGGCCACAAAAATCGATAGCACAGATCGAAAATGGGCGGAGAGCTCGGAGACGATCTGCTGGTAAATTTACCATAATTTGTGTTAGCAGACGAGGTTTGCATTTAAAGCAACGGATACATGATGTCACTGTCTGATGACAGACCTCTTGAGCGTTGATTAGCCAAAGTCGCTCACGAAGAAGACTCACGAGTGCTCTTGGGCCAGCGTCATTCGTCAAATGCAGGTATCTAATAAAGCTTCTAGCGAATTGCGAGCTTTTTTTTAAAAGTAGCGGAAACTTGGCATCATATGAAATAGGAGCATTTACAAGTCGTCCCCCTACTCGCAACAACGAAAAGGAGCACCAAGATCCATTATACTCATGTTAAAATGGCTTAAGACGCTGCAGGCTATGACCCACGCGTGTGCCCTTTCGAACTCTATCTATGTCATCTTTAAATTCAACTCGTTGGATGACTTCAACCATTTTCTCGAAAGCTTCTTTCCTTTCGAGCGCCGTAGGGATACTCTCATATTGTACTTCTCGATTTTTACATTTTTAAATAAAGCATTAGCAAACACTCTCAGTAGCCTGGCATGTAATGAAAAGCTATCGATAGTTGCCAAGATATCTGGTCGGTTTACCATAGCTGCTAGTCCAACAGCTGTTTTGCGGACTTCTAGAGTTCGCATCTCATCTGTAATCAGATGCTGGTTAACCGGCCAGGATTCTCTTGGTTCCTTCAAAAATGAAGGGCCATCGAACCACATCGACGCAAGTAATTCATCGACATCGCAGCCTCTTGAAAAAATATCTGCTGGGTTTTGCTTTGTAGGTACATGGCGCCATTCAGCTTTCTCTGTCCATTCTTGGATTTCAGCCACCCGATTTGACACAAATGTTGCCAAAGACGAAGGATGTGACTGAATCCAATGAAGCGTGACTTCAGAATCAGACCAAAGAACCGTCCTTTCAATCGGTAATCTTATGAGATTTCTGATTCGATGACAAAGATCTGCGAGAAGGTGAGCCGCGCACAGCTCAAGTCGGGGAAGAGACTTCGTCTTGAGGGGGGCTACTCTAGATTTGGATGTCAACAACGAAATACGACAACCTTCTGCAGTGTGGCTGCGTATATATACGCATACGCCAAACGCTCTTATTAAGGCGTCGGCAAAACCATGTATCTCGATCGGTGAAGTTGGCTCTGTATTCGTTGCAACTGAATCAGAGTAGATTTCAGTTGCTGCCACGAGTTATCCGAACTCTGAGGGACAGATTCATCCCAGTCTAACTTCGGAAGCCAGAGCTCTTGGAGTAATATTTTTGCCTTGATTATCAGAGGGCTTAACAAGCCAATCGGTCAAATAGACGCGATGTCACCGAGAGAATGTTCCGTTTTGTCGCTCTAAGACCCATGAATGAATCGTCAATCTTGAATTGAAAGGCATCTTCATTCGGCAACTACAACACGCCAAGTGTTTTGGTTGTGTCAGACTCTGAGATCGTTATCGACTTAGCTGCGTTTGTTGCGGAGAACTCAGGAGAATTCGAAAACCATTTGGTTAGTTCGAAACATGCGCTTTTGAATATTTGCCACACTGCAGACTTAATTGTCTGAAGGTTCTCTACGCATGCAGCACCAGTTAGTAGATCATTGACGTTGATTGATGTTTGATTGATGTTTAACCTGAAGAACCTCAAAGAGTCAGATGGGTTCTTTCTCCACACTATGAGCTGGAAATTTCGATCCGCTTCGTGCACCATGATCACCTATACATCTTTTTGATGTCAGCTGTCAACGCATATTTGTGGAGTCGAAATCGAAGCAGACTCGAGTACAGCTCCTCTTGAATGGTCGGTCCAACCATTAGAAGGTCATTCAACGCAATTTGAGACGATGTCCGACAGGACGCGTCGAAAACAACGCGTAACTTTGTCGATGTGCTTTGTGGTCTTAAAACACACTGATGCGGAATGAAGTAGTGTGGAGTACGTGGAATCTGATCATCTATTTCAGACATGTGACCTAAAGTTAAATATTCCTCCATGAATTCCAAGTACATGCGCTTAAGCTCGGGATCTCGAGACAAGCGTCTTTCAAGCGACAAAAATCGACGCTTAGCAAC